GTGGCCCAAGAGGACACAAAGACCGTGCCCACCAAGGAGGTAGAGTTGGCGGAGGTGGTGTTGGAGGCAGCAGCGGTCGAAGAGGAGGAAGTGGAGTCGGTAGCGGTCGAGGAGGAAGTGGAAGCGGTAGCGGCAGAGGTGGAGGGGGAGGCGGTGGAATGTAGGTTATCTCTGCCTATAAATAGCTAATGTTTCTTTTTGAATCAAAAATGTTTATGTATGTTAAACTACAATAAAATTATAAAATAACGGGTACACAACGCCACTTCGCCATATGTCTGTGTAGGCTTCGGTATCATGAAAGTTAACCTTTTCTCAACGTATGATTAAGAATATTAGTAATCCGTTAGACCGTTACTAATCTGTTTCGCTTAATAGGAAAACCAAATAGAGCAACCAATGAAACAAAAGCATGAACACTACCAAGCCATGGACTTCTAGTCAAGCGAGTCCTTTTTTCTTTCTAGTTAAACGAGTTTATGAAGTGAAAAATCAAAGGTAGCAAGGAATGTCCAAGAATTCCAGCCAAACCAAAGATACAACTTTCTGAACAAGAAAGAAAACATATATATATATATATATATAATGTGTGTGTGTGTAAATATTTATGGGTCCATGTTTGAAGATGGAAGTCTACGCTCTAAGTAAAATTATCATGGCTAGGTTGCCAGTTTTAAAAACAATTGTCAATTAATTAATTAATAGATTGCTCCATGTTGATTGTAATTTATAAATCGCTTAAAGTCCTATTTAAATTTTAATATTAGATTTCTAACATGCCCTTTCAAAAAATTGAAATCTTTTTTAACTATCAGGTCGAATAGCAGAACCAGGTTTGGATGCGGTAAATTATGGGTTGAATATGCTCCGACTGTCCGACACTTTCGAGTTAGATCTATTATCAATTCAGGTTAGATTAATCAGCATGTGTTCGGATTTTAATAAATAATAATAATCATTGATTTTAAATCAAATCAGTTAGAATAAAAAAATGGACCTGTGTTCTCTATACATTTCTTCCACGTCAATATAATTTAATTGTTTGTGGTAACATAAGAAAACTAGGACTATATTTGTTTATTCAGTTAACGGTAAATATCTATATTAAAATTTCACAGCTCTTTTGTATTGAATTTTATAATATAACGTAAAGCTTAGATTCTTTCTAGTTGTAAATTTGTAATAGAGAGTAATCTGTCGTCAGAAAAAAAAAAGCAATAGATAGTAATCCTACGTGTTGGCTCAAAGACATTAACAAAGCTTGCAGACAAAAAATTTAACCTGCCAACCAAAGACCAACAAAAAAATACTTATTCGTTCGTCGCATATATGGTCCAACTACATATAGGAAGAGGTCACTGTGAAGGTCCTATATTAATATTGCTTGTGGTAAAGAGTGATTTAAAGATGAACTTGAGAGCCTTCCTGGTGTGGTGTTGTTTCTTTTCTTGGCGGTTGTTTTTGTAATTCCTATCTTTAATTCTCTAAAATTGGTATTCCTTCTGTTTTTTTTTATAAGCTGTTTTGGAGATTTTTTTTTGTTTTATAATACAAGTTGTTTTCACATACCTATACAACTTTTACTTTTATTGATTATTGTGTGATCAATTAGATTATATAATTTTCTTATGGTTGGTTAAAGTGGTTTTACTTTATACATTAAATTATATTTTTTAAAGAAAAGTAAATTCTTAATAGTTATGCTTTTAACCAAAATAACTTATAAAAAAAACGGAAGGAGTATGTTTATGTTTCTGAATTTCGGATTAAGTTAATGTAATCATCTTCCCTTGTAACATTTCTATCTTTAATCTTCTAAAATTAATATATTTATTTTTCTGAATTTCAGATTAAGTTAATGTAATCTTTATTCATTCTTTTTCCAGAAATATTATAACACTTTCCTCGCCTCTCTCACTCCCTCTCCCCCTCTCTCTCTTTCTCCCTCTCTCTTTCTCCCTCTCTCTCTCTCTTCCTCTCTCACTCTCCCTCTCTCTCGCTCATTATTATATCTCTAGAGTCAATAATTTTATATGAGGAACTACTGAACTCAATCACTTGCTGCCGTTACTCTTCAGTTTTCTGTTGAGCGTCTATCCTGTAGAGGTACTCACATTGGATCAGTGATCGATTTCTAGGTTTCGTCGTAAACCTAATTGGTTACTTCCAATTACGTAAATCAAATAGTTCAAACCGCACTCAAAGGTAGGGCATTTCCCATTTTTATAGGATCTTCTGTACCAGAAACAATGGTATCTCCAATTATAGCCCCTCAGGGATGTAAAATATATCTCTTCTCACCATCCCCATAGTGTATGAGACAAATGTATGCATTTCGATTAGGGTCGTATTGGATGGTTACGATTCTCCCACATATGTCTTTTGCATTTGTTCGAAAATCTATTTTACGGTATAGACGCTTATGACATCCCCCTCGGGTCCAGACAGGAATCCGACATCGGCCATCCGGGCAACCATCCCATTGAATTCAGCCATAGGAGTAATCATAAAAGGATTGGATTTCACTTCAAGAGTTGATAACAATTGGAATCAAGGCATTTAGACCATGGACCAGAAATATATGGTAATCGGAAGAAGAACAGGTCTCGCCCTCATTCCGGAGCAATAGGATGATCAGGATTGCTCGCCTGTCCGGGAAACCTCCCAGTTCGATTCAGCAGTCAGGTCCCAGTATAAGTCCCAGTAGATAACCTCTC